CCAGGCCATCAGTGATAATGAGATGATTGGGACGCGTCTTGCCGAAACTCAGGCGAACCAAGAGCTTCTTGAAGAGATTCTGAAGGGAGAGATTCCGGACTTAAAAGCCGAACTAGAGTCGGTAAAGAAAGACGAGGAAGAGGCTGAGAAGAAAGCTCGCGAGGTAAGCGCTCTCAGACCTCAACCAAATGAGTTCGCTCATCTCTTTGTTGCGACTCCCCCAGAGCCCGTGCAAGAGACATCTCTTCCCGAAGATGATGTCGCCATTGATGAGTTCGGAACTAATAAAGGTTTCATGACTGGCCAGGACTTCGAAGCCGCCGTTCTGCCCGAGGAGATGCAGCAAGATCCCGACGTCAAGGGTCAATGATCTGGTTCCGGGGTTGTGATGGCTAGTGCCCCCCTTTGTTGTTTTTATTTTTAAACCCAAACCCTATTTATCGTTTTTTTTTTGTTTTGAAGACTTGAATATTCCCCCTATATTTTTATATAAGTCCTTTTGAATTTTAAATCCGGAGTATTCGAGAAATTTGAATACCTCGTACGAAAAATTAAGAAATACTTAAGATTTCAACAAGATACGCAGTTTACACGAACTCAAAATTCATTCTTCAGTGGATAAGGAAAATACTAAGAACGAGAGTTAAGTGGGTGTTCTTAATATTTAAAAAAAAAATGAGGATCGGGACTCGGAGTCCGCAGAAATCCCTAGTCTGTGTTGAACCAGACCCTTTTTTTTTTGCTAAGTAAAACTTAGGCTTATCTTTCAAGAATTACCAGAGGTCTAAGCTCGGTTTCGAGAAAAAGTAGTTACGAGGTTCTTCTCGGTTTCACGGATTGCGAGATTATTCTCGGCTTCTTTGAAAAATGTTTAGAAGAAAATAAACATTTTATTTGATTTAGAGACTGCACTCGAAGTTCGAGCTGCCTACGTACCCAAAGGTGGGGATCAAGTCTATCGTAGTTCGATTTACAATAATGAAAATAATAAAATACTTAAATAAAGTATCTCTTCAGATGAATGGAATTCCAAGCTCTTCGGACTGCTTTTCCTTCCATGTTTTCAAGGCGATAAACTCCATTGCGAACTACCTGAATAATTCGATAAGGACCTTCCCAGTTCACGCCTAACTTTCCCGCTCCGTCTTCGGCTGTATTTTGCTGAACTCTGCGTAATACTAATGTCCCAATATCGAAATGCCGACTTCGGACAGTCGAATTATAGTATCGAGCTGCGGCATTCTGGTAATTTTGCATTCGAATCAAAGCTCGATCTCGTCGCTCCTCAATGGTATCAATAACGTCCACCATCAGTTCGCTATTCGCTGCCTCGTTCTGCGGGTTATTCATCCGTCTTGGACTTGGCACAGATATTTCAGCAGGGATTACAGCCTCCATTCCATAAACTAATGAAAATGGTGTTTCACCAGTTGCACGCCTAGGAGTAGTGCGAATTGCCCAGAGAACACTCTGTAGTTCATTGAACCAAGTTCCTTTGTGCGACTTGAGTTTTTTCTTCAAAGTAGACAGAACAGTTTTGTTCATTGCTTCAGCTTGACCATTACCCTGCGAATAACGAGGCGTTGATCGACTGAGTCTGATCTGCCATTCTTCGTAGAAAGATTCAAATTGCCGTGAAATGAACTGAGGTCCGTTATCAGTAACGATCTCATATGGCAAACCGTGCCTACAAATGATGTCCTGCCAAATGAACTTGCGAACTTGAACCTGAGTTATGTTTACGTAGGCTGCCGCTTCTACCCACTTCGAGAAATAATCGGTAAGTACCAAGACAAATTTCACTCCACGAGTAGAAACATGAAGAGGCCCAATAATATCCATAGACCATTTCATAAATGGATAAGGCGAAGAGACTGATGATAATGGCTCGGTGGGTTGGTGAATTCAAGGCGCATGCTTCTGGCATTGCTCGCACTTCCGGGCATACTCCTCGCAATCCGCGATTAACGTGGGCCAGAAATATCCGTACTTTCTTACTTTATAAGCCAAAGAGCGACCTCCGGAGTGATTTCCGCATACTCCGTCATGAATCTCTTTTATCACAGTACGGACCTGCTGTCCGAAAATACAGATCATGTCAGGACCCGAGATGCTTCTTCTGTAGAGGATGTCTCTCAAAATGCAGAAACGAGCACTTTTAGCTTTCAACTTCCGTGCCTCCCACTTATCCGCAGGAAGAGTACCATTAAGGATGTATTCTCTGATGGGAATCCGCCAGTCTGCCCCCCAATCCGGAAGCGGCAGCGCTGGTAGTGGTTCCGGATTTAGCGGTGTTCCGATTAGTGATTCTACTTCGGAGCTCTGCTCAGTTTCCTCGACCCCTTGTGGTTCTTGTTCCATACTCGTCCTTCTTTGCATAGACCGCGTAGTCACGAAATTCAGCTCTCCGGTGGCTATACTGGGATGTTCAATTACTTCAACAGGGATCATTCGGCTCACTCTTACTTCGGAACTCGACGCTAATGCTGCTAAGGCATCCGCCGCTGAGTTCTCACTTCGCGGAATTCTAGTGAGTTCGAAACTGAGAAACTTTTTACTTAATTCCTGAAGCTGAGCGAGGTAAGCTTCCATTCTGCCATCTTTTGCTTCATAGTCCCCGGAAAATTGATTAGCAACGAGCTGCGAGTCGCAAAATACCCGTAACTTTGTGACACCTATGCCAACTGCCAGACGAAGTCCTGCAAGGAGAGACTCGTACTCCGCCTCGTTATTCGACGCATTAAATGCGAGACGAAATGACTGTTCAATTACCTCACCATACGGGGATTGTAATCGGATACCGATCCCGGAACCCTGTTTTGAGGACGCGCCATCTACATGAAGTATCCAAGGTCCTTCGTTTTCTTTGGACCCCTCGGAGACCAGAGGTAGTTCGATCAGAAAATCTGCGAGGACTTGAGATTTCATGCTTGTCCTTGTTCGGAACTGAATATCATACTCGCTCAGCTCAATTGCCCATTTTACCAATCTTCCTGACTGACTAGGGCTATGCAAAATTGCTCTTAAAGGTTGCGAAGTTAGGATTATAACCGTATGAGACTGAAAATACGGTCTTAATTTCCGAGCTGAAGTAATTACTGCCAGAGCTAGCTTTTCCATCATCGGATATCTTGATTCCGCTCCCGAAAAAGACTTGCTTACATAGAAAATCGGTCTTTCATCGTTCCGATCCAATCGTACTAATACTCCACTTACTGCGCTGTCAGAAACCGAAACGTACAAGAAAAGCTCTTCTCCGAACTCAGGTTTTGCTAACACAGGAGGTTTGGATAAATAATCTTTTAGATCTTCGAAAGCCTTTTCGCAATTCTCATCCCAGATGAAATTTTTGTTCGCTTTTCGGAGCAGATTATAGAATGGAAGGCATCTATCGGTTGACCTCGAGATGAATCGGTTCAAAGCTGCTATCCGCCCCGTGAGTCGCTGAACTTCCCGAATATTTCGAGGCGAAGTCATCGCCAGAAAAGCGTTCAACTGTCGCGGATTAGCTTCGATTCCTCGCTCAGTGACAATGTAACCCAAAAATTCTCCTGAAGGAACTGCAAAAGTGCATTTGGTCGGATTCAGTTTCATTCCGAACTTATTTAAAATTGCGAAGCACTGCTCTAGATGCTCAATATGCGAAGTGCTTGATATTGACTTCACCAACATATCGTCAATATACACTTCCATCGTTTTACCGAGGAGATCTTTGAACATCATATTCACCAACCGTTGATAAGTGGCTCCGGCATTTTTCAACCCGAATGGCATGACTATATAGCAGTAAGTTCCACGGTCCGTGATGAAAGCTGTCTTTTCCTGGTCTTCCGGATTCATCAAAATCTGATTATACCCAGAAAAAGCATCCATAAAGGACATCATTTCGTGGCCCGTTGTTGACTCCACAAGTCGGTCGATGTGCGGAAGTGGGAAACTATCTTTGGGACAGGCTTTATTAAGATCGGTAAAATCTACGCAAACCCGCCATTTCCCATTTTTCTTCTTGACTACAACTGGGTTTGCCAACCAGTCCGGATATTTGACCTCGCGAATCAAACCGGCATCGAGCAGGCGTTGTACTTCGGCATTTACAGCCTCGGCTCGGTCTGGACCAAGTTTCCTGCGTTTTTGTTTTACTGGTTTGAAAGTTGGGTCAATGTTGAGCTCGTGCGAAATGACCTTTATATCGATCCCAGTCATCTCCTCGATTTTCTAAGCGAAAGTTTTTTTATTTCTTTTCAGGAAAGTTACCAATTCAACTCGGAGTGCTTCGCTTAATCCCGCTCCTATGCTCACAGTTTGATCCGGATACTCCTCATTAACTACCACTGGCTCCACGAGGTCACTGCTTATTTTTTTGACGAGATTTGCAGGCACCTCGAACTGTGGTTGCTATTGAATTTTAAGCTTATGACTGGACATGTAACACATCCTCGCAGCTCGCTGACTTCCCAGGATTTGCTTTACTCCGGATTTCGTAGGGAATTTCAAGCATTGATGATACGTTGAAGGTACTGCTTTCATCTCATAAATCCAGGGTGTTCCCAAGATAACATTATAAGCAGCCGGACGATCGAACACCGTGAACTCGATCATTTTGACTATGCCTTCTGCGCATACCGGGAGCACAATCGTTCCTAATGACATTGAAGTTTCGCTAGTAAAGGAAACCAAAGGCGACGGTGGCCCCTTTATATCTCGCTTCGATATCCCCATTCTTATCAAAGTATCGAGGAAGATTAAATCCACCGAACTCCCAGTATCAATGAGAACCCGAGATACTTCGCAATGCGCAATATCGAGTGTTATGACCAGAGCGTCATCGTGTGGCTTGTCAAGTTGACTGGTTTCGCTTTCGGAAAATGTTACTTCGGGTAACTGTTCCTCAGTAAGCCTGGCCTTCTTGATAATCGGGGGGGTTGCCCTCCGTTCGTGTTGCTTGATTGCACTAATGGAATCCCGAAAGAGCTTAGATCCCCCCATAATCACCTGGATTTGCTTCTTTGGTCCTTTAAAAACATCAGGGGACTGGATCCTTTTGGTTTTCTTGCTGGGAGGAGACGGTTCCTCTGTTGCTACTGTGTGTTCCGACGGATGAGTTGGTTCGAGCTCCGAAACGTCGATTTCGGCTATTTCCCCGGATGCGAACTTGGCAGCCAGTAACCTCCCTAGAGCCTTGCAATCTTTCGTAGCATGCCCATTGACTTTGTGGATCTCGCAGTAGGCGTTTGGGTCACGAATCCACTTGTTACTCGGGAAGGCGCCGTTTTTGCTCTTTGGCGAGAAAGACTGCTTCGCAGGCGAATTCTTCGGAGAAACTTTTGGCTCATCTCGACCCACTGAGAACGTGCTAGCTCCAGGCTTCCGAACTTCAGGCTGAACCGGTTTCTTCTGAGGAAGAAGCTGAGCAGGTTTCGGAGCTGCTTTGAACTTTTTTGCTAGAGCGACCCGCTCTTCTTCCGCGTTTATCCAGTTCGTTGCCCGATGGAGGGCGTCTTGAATAGTAGCTGGTCGGTTAACAACCAACTCCTCTCGGAAACGGGATTCGTGCCATAGACCGTTCTTGAGTGCAGCAATTGCTGCGGAATCAGACAGATTTGGGATCTGGACCATAATCTCTTTAAAGGAGGTGATGTAAGTCCGGAGCGGCTCTCCGGCTCCCTGCGAGAGGTTCCACAGCTGGGCATCGGTTACATCGCTCTTGATGAAGTATCCGTACTGCATGATGAAAGCAGTGGATAGTTGCTTGAAACTATCGATCGATCCTTCTTCTAGTTGAGTAAACCAGGTCAAAGCCGGCCCGGATAGGTTCTCGGCGAAGAGCTTGCATAAGCCTGCGTCTACTTCGTTTGGCTCCAAATGTATCCGACCTGCGGTTACCTGAAAAGACGCTAAAAATTCTTTGGGATCTCCCTTACCATCGTACCCCGGAAGTTTGACCTTCCTTTGGTCTCGAATTCGCAGGGCTACAATTCGTGGAGTAAAAGGAGTCCTTCTCGTCTCCTCGATCACTCTATCGACTTCGGGAGCCGAACTGGTGGCTTGATGAACCCTCGAACTCATTTCCCGAATCTGATTTTGTAAGCTCTGGATTTCCGGGTTGACCGGAAGGTGAGGCGGACGGGACTCGGTTTGAGGATGATGCGGGGTGCTGCCAAGATGAATGGGGAGAGGTGTTCTGGCTGGAACAAAAGGACCGCCGGCCGAATTTGGAGGTGCTTGAGCATGACGGGATCCATCTCCAGGTTCGCTCTGAGAGCCAAGAGGCAAAGAAGACGGGAGTACGTTGCTCGGGGACACGAGTCTAGGATCCTGAACCTCCGAAATGTTCGGACCATGAAAGTCCAAATGGCCGCGAGGTCCGCTGGTCCGCAAAGTTCCTACAAGAATAGTATCAACCCGATCCGCATAAGCATTATGGGCTGACCTGATTTCGGAACAACTCGCTGTGAGGACTGCGATTTGGCTGCCGCTTTGCTCTTCAAAAGCTGAGAGCTTCTCAGACAACGCAGTGGTGGCGAGCTGCTGCTGGTCGGTCTTCTCGGACAGATCTTTTAGCAACTTCTTGATCTCGTCGAGGACTGAAGCCGGATCCGCTATGTCTGACATCTTTCCGATTGATATTCTAGAGTGAAAGGCTAGAAATCCCCTCCTTCTAGCGCCAAATTGTGGATGTCGGAATCCGCAATACGAATTTTGAGATGTAAATCGGGCCGTCTAGCCTTGCTAATTCGAACAGCAATCGTCAAAGAGAAAACGAAAGAGTGAAGTATGTGTATTCGTTTATTGCTCAAGAAAAAATCCTCTCCCCCTTACAATGATTTTTGTCTCCTATTTATAATTACATGATTTGAAAACGAAGTCGCTCGTCAAGCCGCAGATCTCGCCTCCATTATTGCTTCCGTTTCGAATCTTCCCGATCTCGCACATCCCGTACAACCCGCCTTTCATTTAACTCGCGGGATCTCGCCGTTTTACTCGAACTGGGCTTGAACTTTTTGGGCCGCTCTTTTCGTCCCCTAAATGGGCCGACGGCCCATTTCGTCTCACTGATCCACTATCTTTCCGGGCCGGATCCGAACTGCGGGATCCGACACCGACAATAAGCCCTGGCATTTCTGGGAGAATCCAGTTTTCAACTTTCAGAGGTTCCACTGATATAGCCACCTTATAATTGAAGAGATTGTTTGTTGTTAGGAAAAAAATCAAAAGAAATGAAGAATAATAAGTAGAGAAGATTCATTATATACCTCGTGGCTCCATGTTTCATCATCGTTCTTGAAAAATCTTACCATAGTACTCGACAACGCGCACCCCGCAAATCCCGTAGCTTTATCCGGGTCGTGCAAGAATCTTACCTGCACAGCAAAACAGAGGAAGAAGATTTACTTTCTTGTGGAAGAAGAAAGTAGTATGAACTGAGATTTGCAAGATTAGGGTTTACCTCTAAGGGTAAAAGTCCGGTATCACCAAGGTCAAGTATCTGTTTCAATTCTCCTTCGGGCCAACTATAGACATGTAGATGTTTTCCATACAAGCCATCAGAGACTGTCTTTGAGGTCAAATCCTTTGGTAAACGCTGGTGGTGCTCCCCAAGAGGTACTGATCATTGTCTTGTGCCGAGGTTGGTACCAGAAGTCATACCCATACAAAGGACTGTTTCCATCCTTCTCCCACCTATTAAAAGAAATTCAAATAGCTATTACTAAAAACCCTAAGCTAGAGATTAGGTTTTGTTCTTCTTCCTTGCCCTCTAAGAAATAGTACGAATTCGTTATCCTCGAAGTTACCTTCCTTTGATATTAAACTCGGAATCAAGTAAGAGAAACCCACTGCCTTCTGCGTTTCCATCTTCGTCCCCAAGACAAGACACAAGAACGTCTCCAGAAGCTAAGCAATGAGGTTGATGCGGATAAGCCAATCCAGTCTTCTCCGAAATCTCACCAGGGTCCACGAATTTGTGCAGAAATGGTTCCCTCGGGTTTGTTTTCGTATCGATAAAGTAGATCCGGCCAGACCTTTTCAAACATAAGTGAGACGAGCACACAAAACATGATAACTTTTCGGAACAAAAACAAAGGAGATATGTTTTAAAGTTTCTTACAGAAGAGAAGGCAAGATGAGATAACGTCTCTCGCAAGAAGAATCATATGATGCACGGTGACGTTAATTTTCAGCCGTCTCACTTCCCAGCTTCGTTTCGGGGATGGGTACTTGCTGGGGACAGCCTAAAAACGTTTCCCACACGTTTCAGAGATGTTAGGGACGCCAGCAAAAAATGGAAACGTGATGGAACAGATAGAGGGACGTTTCCGACACGTTTTGGGAATAAATTAAGTGTCCCTAATTTTAAGTGTTAAGCACACCGTCCCACATTAAAAATCTCTCATGTTCTGCACTAATCATTTTGTTTTATAAATACGACAAAAACATACGAAAAACACAATAAACTATCACGTTTCTTATCTCATAGATAATATTATTTGCTCACCTAATCAAATTTCTAAGCAAGTTGCAATATTCTATCAACAACTACCACTCTACCAGCTCACTGCTCACCCAATGATTATACTTGTTTAATCGACTAGACTAATCATTTGTTTTACATTAACTAAAAACCCCATCACTTTCCATCGCACTTAAATGCTTTTGGCTTGAAGGGATAATATAATTATGTCTAAAGATGTCAGTTTCGAGTTTTCAGGCTAATTTTATACATAAAAAAATTATACAACATATTGTATCAACATCAACCATTTCTCCAAACAGAATGTCAAGATATCTCAAACCCTCCAACGTACTTAGGTTTTACCGGTTTAATTGTTCCTCACAATTGTTGATTCTATTAGATCCAATAAGTATCCATAGTGCTGCAGAAGTAGCAATCCCATAGTTGAAGAACAAAGAGCTCAAAGGCCTCTTACTTTTCATGAATTGGTGTTGCTTTACTATAAGTAAACCGATATTTGCAGCTTATATTAACAATGAGTAAGAACCTTAACAAGGTTAATGTAAAATAAAGAGGATACTAAAACGTCTAGTCTACTTGTAGAGTCTATCTATCTCGTTCTTGTATTGATCAACCACCTTGTCCCGTCTTATTTTCATTGTCGGTGTCATCAAACCGTTGTCTATCTGTAACAATATTCATAGAACGTTCACATGAGGATTGAATATTTTGAAGGAATTATCAATGAGAGCAAGCAAAAGAACGTACCGTGAAGGGCTCATCCACGATCAGAACCGGTCCAACTTGGAACGAGCATTGTGATGTCCTGCATTATGGTTTACATATGAGTAATTGCTTGATTAGGGCAAGTATACGCTTATTCCTACATTAGAGAGGGATCCAAACGCTCAAAGAGTATCACTTGGTTTGAATCATTACCATTTCTTCAGTTCTTCGTAGACCATGCTCGTTATCCTCTCCTTGCTAAGTTCGTTGACTTCAGGATCTACAGGTGAAATTTTCTGCTTTGCTGCTCCTTCTGCTGCTTCTTTGTTTGGGATAACAATAGCTCCAAGGCGGCGTTGATCCTGAGAACGAAAGATCAAGGACGCATTCAATCCAGAGAAAACAATAAGTAAAACAGCCCATACCATTTTTTCCTAAATCAAAATCTCCAAATACCTGTCCAATAACCACTATTTGCTGTATCAAATTGCTTCTCATGGCCGCTTCTTCAATCTCCAATGGTTCCACATTTTCACCTACAACAATCAAACTGCTATCAAACGTTTTTGGCAATATTTTTGCAGCTCAATTCACTTGGATTCATCTTTAACCCGAGAGACACATTTTGCTGTTAAGACTTGTAGTGTTTAAAATGTATGCTTATCATACAGACACTAGAAAACATAATTTTGTTTCCAAGGAACCGGTTTATGTGGACGCTGACAACAAAGGGTACACATGTGATATACCTGTGGAAAGCACGATTGTGTCCTTGGCACGGCCTTCAAGAACGATGACACCTCCACAGCTACGACTCCGTCCTGTTGAATGCTGAGGAGTAATCCAACCCATATCCCCAGTATTGAACCATCCATCGTCATCTATAACTTGCTTGGTGGCCAGCGGATTCTGAGATAATCAACAGAAAGATGAGTTAATCAAGATCTAACCACCAATCCCAAAACATTCATCCAAAACACAGAATATTTGAGGAGTCCACAAATGTAGAAATGGATTGCAAGAAATGTAGATTCCAATGAGCTGCTTTAGATTATTAATGATGAGACCAAGATGGAAACGAGTTCACATAATTTAGTTAAAAGGTTAAGTAAGAAAAGAGTTCAGATAATCTACTTATATATAAGGTGCAGTATTCCATAACAAACCCTTTATGGAAGCCAATATATACACTCTCGGACAGAAAACTTGATAGCTAAAGCCTGATGTATCATCCTTTCACAACCTTTTCGTAAAATTGTAATTAAAGAAAGAGCAGAAAGTGTGTATCACCTTGTAGTAACCTTTCATCACCGGTGGGCCTCTGACTTTGACAATGCCCTTTGAACCAGGTGGAAGAACAGTACCAGTCTCATGATCTACAATTTTGAATTCTGTATCTTTAATAGGATGCCCAACTGAGCCAAGCACCTTCACAAAAAAAGTACGGAAGATATAATATTAACTAGTTGACATACTCCGAAAATGTATATAAACAGTAAAGATAGGAGAATTGTAATGTCCTCTAAACTCTATTGTGCTAGATGGATTCTTTAATAGCTTTTTTGGACTAGTTGTGACCCAAACATTTGGTGCAAGATGAGAGCTTATTTTCCATGATCACAAAAGTAGATGTCATTGAGGTGAGAGTTTGAACGTACATTACACCTAAGCCTCCGCGCCGAGACAACCGGTGAGGTTTCTGTCAAACCATACCCATTTTGTACATTCACACTGATGGCCTGCAGAAAGAACTAAGCTGTTTACATATGGACAGACTACCTTTTTTGAATGCAAAAAGAACCATTTATCTCTAACTTCATGAAACAAAATTGCCGGTCTAACCTCGAAGAACTTGTCAACATGCATAGGTAGACTACCGCCTCCACTAACACCAGCCTGGAGGAAACAAAGAACAGATTGCAAGTCAGTCTTACAATCTTTCTTGTAAGGTAAGAGAATTTTTCTTTGCCTACAAATATAAAACAAGTAACTGAAAATGAAGAAGAATATTGTAATACTACCTTTGTTATCCCAATAGACGAACGAATTTTTTTGTGCACAAGCTTTTCAGCTAAGATATGCAGTGGCCAAAGGACAAACGCAACTACTCTCGCCCACAACCAATCCACCAACGAAACAATATACAATGGAGGCTTTTGATTTTTTGTCAAACAAAGACCCTGCACATCAGAGAAAAGAATTTATCACGAGTCCAAGCATCACGAATAGGAACAAGCAGAAAAACTCTATTAACCAAAACTATTAGGCAGCACGAAATATTAAAGAGGACATCATCTGGTTCACCAACCTCATAAATTCTTTTCATCTCAGTATATGCTAGGCTGACTTTGATCAATGTAAGCGCTAAAAATTTACGAACAGGGGAGCTTGTCGAAATTTGCTTTTGAATCCCGCTGCAATCTCAGAAAAGAGAGAAAAATGTTTAACAATTAACGTGGTTGAGGATGCTAAGAAAAATGCAATGACTAAAATCATGTAAGAAAATAATACATTGTAAATCTGGAATGACCAAGTAGAAACAGCCATTGCGAAAGATGGCTTTAGAATATATTCAACATATGCATATGAACAATGAATCATAAGCTCTTATCAGTAAACTCTAGTATCAATAGAACCTATCTGAAAGTTCTTGAATCTTGTGAGAAATAATTTTCCTTGTAAAGTAGTATACCTGTAGAGTGTCTCATATACTAAAGGTACTGAAATAAGATAGTGTGGTTGATACTGCTTGAGATCACCCTATACCAAAAAACAAAAAAAAAAAGTTTCAAATCCAAAGGGAAAAATATAAATGAAATGCTCGACTCAGTGTAAAGTTTCATCGTCTCCTATTTCCAAGGATAAGATGTTGCTTTTGAAATGTCATTGCGTAAAATAACATAGAAAGACTTACCTTTAAGAATCTTATAGACGTATACTTTTGCTCAACTCCACATGTAAATATGAAGTATTCACAAGCCCGTTCATAGGCATGCCATGATGGCAACATACTCAGAAATCTTTCCCCAGCTTCCGCAGGCACAAAGTCAGATAAATTTCTTATCTGTATAGTAATTCAAGAAACCCAAAGAACAAAAAAAATAAAAAATCAGAACGTAATAGCAAACTTAGTATTTTATAAATGATGACATAAAGACACTGTTTTGATGAGAAGTATTAGCTTGAACCTGGTGTAACAAATTCTGATGTGTGAGCATAACACCTTTTGGATTTCCAGTGGTTCCGCTGGTATACATAATTGTGGCTATATCATCTGGATCGATGAATTCATATTCATACTTCCCTGCAGTCATTCATTTGTTAGCACTTCCAAAAGCACCAAAGGGCTACATAAAAAAGTAGATGTGGCTCTTACCAGCATCATTAGATCTTGCAAATTTTGCACGTCTCTCTTGTCCAAAATTTTTAATTTCATTGTAACTATAGACTGGTGTGGGCATACCCGCTGTAACCAACGACGATTTTTCCCCCCAGAGAAGAATCACAAATTTTGGAGCCGCCTTGCAAGAAAATGACTCAGCAATGCGGTTGAAAAACTCAGGGTTATCCACAACAAGGGCTACACTGCAAGACAAATCACAAGAAGTTACCAAAACTCAGTACTTTGAATAAATTTGAAAATATAAAGAACTGGAGACACGCATAATAAGTAATCCAAAAGACAACTAAAAACCATTAGCTACACGAAATCAGGCAGTACACATCATATTGAAGGATCAAGTACTTCTGTCTCTGCCATTCAAGAATCTCCTTGATTAATTACGCCTCACAGAAGCCACAATAGGAAGAACCATAAGACATGTGTGAAACCAAGACATTGACTAATCTTCACCTAATCACTAGTGCGGATCACTATGAAACCAAATGAAATCTCTCTTGGACTCAGCAGGACAGTTAGATGTTATCTGAAGTGACAGAAGTTCTAAAAATGGTTCATGAAAACAAGGAATTTTGATGATACAAGTGGTAAGTATATGTTTTTTGGTATATGGCAATAAAATTCTAAATGTGTATGAGTAGAGTATAATTTGCTCACCTCTATCTTGAGTAAGATATTCACTTGAAACAACAAAATAACATAAGGGTCTAGGCGTACCTTTCCGAATGACAGTAAATCTGCAATAATTCTTCAACAGAGGATCTGGATCCTCTAACAACATTGACTGCTCCTGTGGCCATTATACCTAGCATAAAGTAGTAAAGAGAACATAAACATACCAATACCTGCGGAAAACAAAAAAATCGAAGAACCAAACGAAATAATTAGAATTTATTGCAGTAAAGCAGGGAAGTCAAAACAGCTTCACATGCTAGCATCATGATGGTATTGCCAACTGAGAGTGCAATTTAACTTTCCATGTCAATTGAAAAAATCTAACTAACTTCTCTGGGCATGAAACTTAGCCATTGATGAATATCTATCAAATGAAAGACTTTCAAACTAAAGTAAGAACTTTGGAAGCCTTAAGGTTGATAATTTTTCCCTTTCTGAAACATCTAAAGAATGGACAGATATTATTGAGGTGTTTAAATAGGTGCAGCACCACAAATATATAAGAAAGAATATCAGAAAGTAGAAACAGACCAAAACATATCACGACAGTTCATTGGTTGTCTCTGGAGTGGAAATGATCAACAAATAATGTATAAGGTAAGCACCGGCAAGCCAATATTCTAAGTGTAATGACATCATCCAACAACGTTAAGGCTCAAGCATTACGCAGTTTATGTAATA